GTTTCTGTTATATGGTGCTAGGGAAAAAAAAGCCAGATCTGTCATTTAGTAGGCTGTGAAAAACACTCCTGATTTGACACTTAGGCGTGTGAGAAATAACAGGATCAGCAGTAACTATTGAAAATTTGAAGAACAAACCAGCTGAAACACCAGAATGACTAGGATCACCTGAGGAACACAGTAGGTGATCCTCTTTTGCCTTCAAGCTTCAAATTCCCTTAGAACAAAATGAACTGTAGTTGTGTAGCTCAGCCTAGGTGCCTGTGTTTACAACTTTTCTGTATGTGCCCTGAATTGATAAAGTAGGATGTTTTTGTAACTTCCAATTCTTCTGCCCACCTCGTGGATCCAAAGCCCTATCTTACTCTTCTATGATGAGATTGTTTTGACTCCTCTTTGCCAGTTGCCAAGAGCGGTTTCTACTGTTTGTCAGGCATCTTACTGTGCTACAAAGAAGGATGTTCTATCCTACATTGACACTGATTCTTCCTAATTCCTACTAGTTTAGAATTTCTTCTAATGTTTTCAGTTCTGATTATTAGACCCATTTTTCTCTCTATAATCTCACTGTGACAATTCAATTTAATTATATATTTCTTCAAAGATTTCTGTAAAATTCCTGGCAAGATATACGTTATCAATCCCCTAGGTGCTATTTAGTAAACAGGACATGATAGTTCAATTTTTTGATGGTACTGTTTAATTTTAGTTTTTTTTCTCTCCTACAGAAGGCATAGTGACACAGAGCTAAATCAGAAAAGGCAATGTTGGAAAGTCAAAGCTTAATCACATACGACTACTATAACTCGTATGCTGAAAGAAGCCACACTGAGATTCCAGGGACAGTCTTAGGTTAGACATTTCCTGGCTCTTGTTCTGCTGACTGATACAGATTTTGTCTCTTGGTCTTGTTGCTGGGAGGGCAAAGAAAACCACCCTAGGACTGTAAGCAAGCAGCATCCTTGACACCTACTGTCTGCAGCCCAAAGTCACATACAGACAGGGAAAGTGGATCCACTTTGACCAGTTCACTTGTACAACACTGTCAGAGGCAAGTGTGGTCTGAACATGTCCATGAGGATGAGATCATGAGACGGCTGGGACCTTCAGCATGACTGTATTGCAAACAGTTTTTTTTCCAACTAAATTCTTATAATTTTGACTTGATTTGGAATGGTTTTGAGAGTGATGACAAATGCTCTCTTCCCAGGAAAATGCCTCTTGACATACTAGAAGCCTTTTTGGATACAAATATTTGAAAATGCTTCTGCCTTTATTTCTAGCAATCTTCTACCTTCAGTTTTAGAAATGGATCAGATGGTTTTGCTGTAGGTCTATGTTTACAGTTTAAGTTCTTAAAGATGAAATAATAACTTGTCAAAATATTTTGATACTGCAAATGCAAGCCCAGATTATAGTATTCCTTAATGTGGGTTTCAGTAAGTTCTAAATGCCACTTTATTATTCCAGTGCTAGCAGACCCATCTTTTAAAGTGAGAATAAACAAGGTCTGAACAGATAATAGAAGACAGTTTTTGCGCTAGAGGAATTACGATTAAAACATAACTTGGTGTAGGTGGATGAGAAGTAGTTAAAGATTGCAAGCTCACAGAAGGCTCAGATCTTGCCTACAGAAGACGGATATTGTTTTAATGATAAATGCATGGCAGTGTTTATTGAGAGTGTGAGGAGTAACATGAAATAAGATAAAAAAGGTGCTTTGAAGATAACACATGGCAGTCGAGTCTGGCAGTAGTGATTGACTGACCATAAGGTCTGATATTTTAGTAATGAATGGAAGGTGATATGTGAAGAATCCTGAGAATGCAAACACATTCAAGTGTTTCACAAGTGAAAGAGTTGACATGGAGATCTGTGTCACTAAAAATCCCTCATGAGCTGGGACAGAACTAAATAGACTGATACAATATCTAAAATGCCTTTCTAAGATGGTCTCAGAGGGTTTCACTGTTGAGGTCCTACCTTATCTCCAAGGAGAAGGTGTTTTATTAATACTCATCCTCCCTTGCTACAGTTTAAGTCCATTGATTGTTCTCATGTATACCCCCAAAACAGAAACAACATGGCTCTCCTGGATTGTGTTAAACTTCCAATCTGGCAATTCTTTTCAGCTCAACTGCTGTTAGTTTCCCAGTCTGCAGCCTGTTTCTGTGTATTGGATTATTTCTGATTGAATATAGAATTTTGTATTTGCTGGGCAGTAAATTGTGATCACTGGTCATATTTTGCTATATTAAGTGTAGCTCACACATGAAAAATGTTTTTGTTACTCTCTTATTGTAGAGTAAATCCATTGATTTGTGAGACCCTGTTAAGTATTTGTTACATCAGTGTTTAATATTCAGACACTTTCTAATGGTTGTGCACATGTAAAAGGAAGCAACTTTCGCAAAAGTACTTGGAATAGATTGGAATCTTTCCACTGATTAAGAATTTCAGTCTGATTTTTTGCTCATGCCCTAAATGAAATGCTTCTTCAGTACTGTGTTGTTTCCTTTATTTTTGTTCAATACTTAACATGGACAAGAGTTAGAGATGATATTTTTCCTTTTAAGGTTTCACATGCATGCTGGGAAAATGGCCTTCTGTTTATACACTTTTTTTGTTATTTCGTCTTTAAAAAAAACAACAACTGAATCTCTGTTTGGGAGTTCATTTGAACTTGAGGCTTCAGATAAAGATCTGTGAAATAAATGGTGTGAAATATCTTAAAATAGACTGACCATGCCACCCTGATGTCATCTCATCTTGGAAGCTATGCAGGGTCAGGCTAGGTTAGTACTTCATCTCCATCAAAAGAGGGGTGGCAGGAGGGTGAGGGTGGGACTCTGCCCTTGCGAGGCCCATGGGGCCCCAGTACAGGAAGGATGCGGAGCTGTTGGAGTGGGTTCAAAAAAGGGCTACGAAGAGGATCAGAGGGCTCGAACACTTCTGCTATAAAGAAAGGCTGAGGGAGTAGGGCTTGTTTAGCTTGGAAAAGTAAGGGCTTTGGGGAGACTTCATTGTGGCTTTCCAGCACAAGGGAAGGGGAGCTTATAAGCAGGAAGAGGAGCAACTTTTTACATGGTCTGTTAGTGTTAGGATAAGGGTAAATGGCTTTTATCTTAAAGAGGGGAGATTTAAGTTAGATGTTAGGAAGAAATTTAGACAGAGTCCTGGGCAGTCTGATCTAGTGGGTGGCAGCCCTGCCCACGGAGATTGGAACTGGATGGTCCCTTCCGACCCAAGCCATTCTGTGATCTATGATTATATGGAATTAAGTTCAGATGACATTAAGCTGAGCGACACAGTCGATACATTGGAAAGAAGGGAAACCATTCAGAGTGACCTGGACAGGCCCGGCCATGAAAACCTAATGAGGCTCAATAAAGCAAAGTACAGGGTGCTGCACTTCGTTTGGGGCAATCCCAGGTATCTATACAAACCACGGGGAAAATCTCCTTGAGAGCAGCCATGTGTAGAAGGATTTGGGGGTCCTGGCAAGCAAGAAGCTGGACATGAGCCAGCCATGCGCAAGGCCAACTGTGTTCTGAGCTGCATTAAAAGAGGGATGGCCAGCAGGGAGAGGGAGGTGATTGTTCCCCTCTACTCAGCTCTTACGAGGCCCCATCTGCAGCACTGCGTCCAGGCCTGGGGCCCCAGTACAGGAGGGATGTGGAGCTCTTGGAGCGGGTCCAGAGGAGGGCTACTAAGATGATCAGAGGGCTGGAGCACCTCTCCTATGAGGAAAGGTGGAGGGAACTGGGCTTGTCTAGCATGGAGAAGAGAAGGCTTATAGTGGCCTTCCAGTACTTGAAAGGAGCATATAGACAGGAGGGGGAAAAGGCTGTTTCCTGAGACAGGGGAGGTTTAGGTTAGATATTAGGAGGAATTTTTTCACACAGAGGGAGGTGTCACACTGGAACAGGTTGCCCAAGGAGGTTGTGGATGCCCCATCCCTGGAGGCATTCAAAGCCAGGCTGGATGTGGCTCTGGGCAGTCTGGTCTGGTGGTTAGCAACCCTGAGCATAGGGGGATTGAAACTAGATGATCATTGTGGTTCTTTTCAACCCAGGCCATTCTACGATCCTGTGACTCACCAGACTTCACATACTGTAGTTATTACTAATATCCAACTGAAATTTGTTTGGAAAAAAAGCCTGTCACAGAAGGAGAAAAGTGACTGGAGTTATGAATAATTCGCCTAATCCACCCTTGGCTCTTAACGCATCATTGCAGGAAGACAAGCTTTTAACTCACCAAAAAAGATTTCAACATTCAAACTCAAAAAGTTTGAAGAAATCATTAAAAATATGCACTAATCTTTTTGGAATGTTGAATGGGTAGATTTCTATAATAAGAGATTAATTCCATATTCAAAGCAGAAACGTCATTACAGCAAGAGGCTAAACAGAACTTACACTAAACTAAGTAAAATGTTAGAGATAGTGCTTATGTGCCCCTTTCTGCACTCGGTGTCCTTCTAGCTGAATTAACTTTCCTACTGAAAAATCCCCTTTCATTCTCTTCCCATGTCTGCACATGCAAATATTTTTACAATTATGGGAACACATATCTCTGTTGCATCAACTTGTTCTACTGTTGTGCCTGTGATGGAAAAATTTCCTTCCCTGTTTCCTGCTGTGTATGTTATTGTTATATCGTTACTACTGCTACAAATAGAGTTAACATTATAGTAGTAGAAAGGATTTTTAATAGCGGAAATATATATTTCCTCCTGTCCAAAGGAATAAGGAAAGAGACAAGAGATAAAACAATGCAAAAAATGAACAAGATTATGGTGAAGTGGGATACTGCAGTTATTGTTTTTGATTCATAAAAATATAAGTATGAACTTAAGGATTTGCCTTAGATGGAAAAATATTTCAAAATCATAGTGTCAGTGGTCATCACTGGTTTTATATATGGAAAAGAAAAAGAATCCTTGCGTACTTGAAGAGTGGTTGCATAACATTTTACTGAATAAAAAAAAAATCAAATTTTCAGGATGATACTGGATTTTTATTACAATTCATGTACATTTCCTTTGTGGCACATTTTACATACAATATTTATGCAACAAATACATTTTAAATGAACAGTTCTTCAAATTTTCTATGTGCTACACTGAAAATACAACCCATTTAAAATACTGAATCTGTTTTGCCATTCCTAAAATGCAGCTATGAGCTGAAAGTTAAGCTCATAATTGCTCTGTAATATGTTATAATTCTTTGCATAGTGTTCCTGGTGATATTATATTTGTTACCACAGATACAGTATAATAAATTTTCAATCAGTTTATACCATACTTTAGAGAAACCAGACTTCTGATGCTTTGTCAAATAACTTTTCTTTCCAAGCACTGATAATTGATGAGACAAGTTATATCATTTGGTATAAAACTCTGGTGTTGCATGTTATATGTTTGGATGGTAACACAGAAAAGGAAAAGCAAACCCAGGGACAAATAAGCAGCGAAGTGATGTAACTTAATAAATAATTAACTTAGTCTGAGAATGCTAGAACAGTGTGATTCCTGTTCATTTTTAATGCAATTGTAATATTGTAAATTTTATTTTATTTATTTTATTTTATTTATTTAATTTATTAAATATTGTAAATTGTAATATCAAAATTAAGATGGAACCGAGAATCATGAAGTTGAACTAGTCTTGACTGGAAACAACTTGAAATATGAAGACTTTTCTTGGAATGATACCTGGTTCAAAAAATACCCACAGCAGAAAAACTGTGAAAAAACTTTTAAAGCTTTTTGCCTGAAATATTTCCCAGCAAATACATAAACTATTGGGTTAATACAGCTGTTTGTGAGAGCCAAAGTAGAACTAAACTGCTCACCAAAGTTGAGAAAATCCTCCCAGAAACAGCCTTGTATCACTTCCATCTGGAATAATATATCAAAGAATATAACAAGATGGTAAGGAGTCCAGCACAAAAGAAACATCAGTACTACTAAGAAGATCAACTTTGTGGCCTTTGTGTCTCTGTGGTCCTGGCAACACTTTGTCCTGAATGCTTTTAGTTCTCTTTTGTGTTCTTGTAGGGAGCGAATGGTACAGAAATTGAGGAAGACGATTGCTGTTGATGGCAATGCAAACCCCACTATGCTGAATACCAAACGATCAGCTTTTTGCCAGGATGGGGTGGGGAAGTCTAAAACACATGCAGAGATATTCCACTCAGGAAAGTGTTTCACAGTCCGAAACATAAAGGTTGGGATACTGAGAAGGATCCCAAAGGTCCAGGTGAGCAAACAGATCCCTTTGGCTATAGTTTTGCTGCGTATTCTTCTGTGTGTCAAGGTATGAACAAAAGTCAAATAGCGATCCAAGCTGACTGCTACTAGCAAGTAGATGCTAGTGTACATGTTTAGGTGGATGGATGCACTGGCACTACGACAAAGAAAATTTCCAAATGGCCAATTATACTTATTCCGTACATTCTCTGCCCAGAAAGGGAGACATATGAGGAAAATAAGATCAGCAACAGCTAGGTTCACAAGGTAAATTTCAGATATCTTCAGAGGGCCCTTGTACAGTGAGTAAACGAAGAGAACAAATAAATTTCCAAGCATTCCAATAACACAGATGGTGTCGATACACTTGGGTACTAAGTAGTACACGATTTCCCACCAGTTATCCAAGTCTGGGCAAACAGTTGAGTTGCTCTTGTTTTCGCTCTGGTTTGAGAAGGGAATGCTCAGTAGGGGACTTTCAGTCATTTTTTTAGGATTCTGTAATTAACAGGAGACATTTTTGAAGTAAGAGAAAAGAACTGCAAAATGGAGGCATAAAGTTCTAAATGTTATCTCTTATCAGTGGTGTAAAAAACATCTTTTTTCAAATTTCTTCAGCACTGACTTGTATGAACTTAGAACTCCAGATTCCTTGTTGACAGAAAATGCAATTCATTCGCAGTTGCTTAATTTATTTCTCTTTCAAAGGTAATTTTCTTCTGTAAATACTGTATTTAGTGCTAATGGACAATTAGCCAAAATAATGATTTTCAGTTATGTCCTTAATACATTCCAAGTATTCCAGCTTTCACGAAAATGCCTTTTTTTTTTTTTTTCTCTGCATTCAACTAATTTCTGATTATTTTCTGTGGTCATTGACTCTGTAGCCAATATACAGAAGATCAGATTTCTGGAAACACTAAATAAATCTTCTGGATCTTCTGAAACACTAAATAAATACAGCTTGAGTTTTGGGAACAATTAAAAAAAATATTATTTTTAAAGAGAAAATTCTGCAATCAGATAAGTCTATTCAGCTATACAGAAAATTCATAAAATGAATCACTGTATTTTTACAGATTAGAAGAGTTAATTCTGACTTTCAGAGTTAGCAGTGAAAGAGAACATCTTACTATGTGTGCACACATTGGAACTGAGAGCACAAGATACTTGTTTATATAAAAGCATCTGAAATACTTTTAATATACCTAAGACATTAAAAACAGATAGACCTACCTTATTCTCTTTCTTCGTGGCAGTTTAGGTGAAAAAAGTTTCAAATCCAGGAAGAACTGACAAACAGCAGTACAACAGTGATTAGGGAGAGAATTCAGACTCATCGGTGAGTGAGACTGAGCGCTGTCTGAGTCTTTTGTTAGCCATGTGCATTATGTATGATGTTACCATTTGGAAGAAAGCCATTACATTTTTTTTTTTTTTTAAGCTTTCCAAACGTCAGCTGTGGTGATTTTCAAGGCAAGTGTGACATTTCATTCTTGTTGTGAAATTCCTGAAAAAGTCAAGCTATATGCCTTGACTTTCGCTCCTACGTGAACATAAATAAAGGTCTCAAATACAGGTCAATGGCAATTAATAGTTCTTTTGTATGAATAACAATGTTTGCAACAATGGCAATTTTATCATCTGCTCCAAACCACTCTCTCAGCGCCAATACAATCAAAGCCAAACTTTCTATGAGGTTTTTGCTTTGAGAACTCTTTCCTGTCCAGCTGGTGTAGGGAAGGCGATACTGCATACGTTGTAGGCCATGCCAAGGAGTTGGGATTAGAGCAGAAGAGGTGTTTGGGAAGGGTAGCTGAAACCTGGAATCACTAAACCTTTCCACCATTTTTGAAAACCGATGTCATTTGCACACCACTATAGCTATCTAGTGCATGCATCTCTGTGAACGTTACTTCTCAGGATTGTGTGATCGTGTCTGTAATTTATCAGGCATGCAAAATACCATCTGCATTTTGTTTCATTACATGAGACTTCATTGACTGAGACTAATTGTCTACAAACTTAATTTTTGCATTTTAATTGCCCTCTAATCTGAGATTAGATATCAAATTTCTAAATACAAATCTCTCAATTACACGTGTGTAAACAATAGGTGTCTTCAACTTCTTAAAGAGCAGTGAAAAAATAACAAAGGAACTGGAACGCTATTCACTTATAGACTAAAAGAAGGGTGATTTATATTAGATGTTAGGGGGAAATTTTTTACTCAAAGGGTGGTGAAGCAGTGGTACAGGCTGCCCAGAAAGCTGTGGGTGCCCCATCCCTGGAAGTGTTCAAGGCCAGGTTAGATGGTGCCTTAAGCAGCCTGAGCTGGTGGGGGACAGCCAGCCCACAGCAGGGGTGGGAACTGGATGAACTTTAAGGTCCCTTCCAACCCAACCATTCTATGATACAATTCTGTTTGAAAACATTAGTCTTGTTGGCTGTCTGCCCAACAAATTCACCATCTCTCCAAATTCTTACTCCACTGCACTCTCCTTTGATTAATTAGTTAAAAAATAAAAAGATCATGCAAGGCTATGCTCTGATATCACTTGACAGACTTCCTTGTCATCATGATAAGCAGTTTTATTCTAACTTTCATTATACTGATTAAAAATATGCTATATTAAGGTGCAATTTACAGAAACTTGAAACATTGTTCTGTCTGCATGCAATCACACTGAAAAAAATTCTAAAAAAATCCAGTATTTGATTGGAAGACTTAAAGCACTCAAATACTTCCATTTAAACAGTAACTTGTTTCAACATTTGTTTATTTTACTAACCAAATGAATCAGAATTAAAAATATCTCAAATGACGCCATTTACTTCTCTTCTGTCAATTTTTTTTTTACATCTCAATCAAAATTTTTATTTTGGTAAATAATTTTTTTGAACACACAACATAAATCCTAATAACCTACAGGAGGTCAATATTTAAACATCTCATCCCACACTGAGTCACTAAGGTAAGTTAAATGGAAAAGTAGATCTTCGTCATAAACTTTCCATAACTTCCTCTTTGCTTACGCTAGTGGATTTGTGTTGAAGTTATTTTTTCATAAAGAACATTTGAGCAATAGCAAGAACTTTGGAATTCAGCCTTGCTTGGACACAAATTTTCTAAGAGTGACCAACATCTGTGTTTTCTCACAGACATCAAATAGCAGATGGTAGCTACATCTAAAACGTAAATGATAAAAAATGCAGACTTACTAAAATCATCATTTCAAAATAGATCAAAGCATCAGTTTTCAAGCCCAACTCCTCTTTGTTAATCTAGCTTCTGATTTTGTTTTTGCTTTGTTTTGTTTTGTTTTCATGTTTAAAACTTGTTTTCAGCAAGAAAGAATCAAAATTCAATTCTATGCATTTCCTGGAAATTGTGAAATGAATAGGATCTAATACAGGTGCTAAATCATCTTAGAACAGGTGTTTAGACATCTTAGAATCTTAGTCTGAGTTCCTGACTTCTCCATAAAGTGCCTGTGTGAACAGCAACATCCTCCTATCCACAACAAGCATCAGCCACTTGGACCTAACTCTTTGTAAGACTGTTAAATTGTTTTCCAGGTGGAGTCAATAATCCACTTGAAAAAACAGGCAGTAAGAAGTTCATAACTATTCCTGCCCATATCTACACAGAGCAATGCCAGACACCGGCTGGGAGAGGAGTGGCCAGAGAGCAGCTCAGCAAGAAGGACCTAGGGTGCTCTGACAGCAGCTCAGCATAGACCAGCACTGTGCCCTTGCAGGCAAGAGGCCAAACTACACTGTGGGACGCGTTATGCACAGCAAAGTGGTCGGAAGAGGTGGTTGTCAGCTATATTTAGTATTAGTGTAGCCTGGCGTTGCATACCTAGGCTCCACACACTAAAAAATGTTGTTAAAGTGCTTGGAATATTCCAGTGGAGGGCAGAAAAGCTGTGACAGTGAAAGGCATGCCCTGTCAGGAGAGGCTGAGGGCACTGGGCTGTCCAGCTGGAGAAGAGGAAGCTGGGCGGCAACCTCCTTGCTCCCTGAGGATGGGAAGCAGGAGATGCCTGGCTCTGCTCCTGGAACTGATACCAAGGGTGGGAGTGGCAGAGCTGCTAGGATCACATTGGACATTAGGAAAAATTTCTGTACTGTGAACGTGGTCAAACACACTTCCTGGGGAGCGCCCCATGCCTGTCAGTTGTCCAGAGGCATTCAGACAATGTTTTAAGTTGAGGTTACCCCTGAAGTTGTCAGGTAGTTGGAATTTGTGGTTTTTGAAGGTCCCTTCCAACTGAACTACTCTGTTAAAATGTCAGCTGAGTTTTCATACAGTTGCTGTTCCTCTGGTTTTACTTCGTTACCTATATAAGTGGTATATGCCAGTACTAGACAATATGTGATAGCTCTAGAAAGTAAGTGACTTGGAAGTCAGCCTATTGCATTCTACAATCTGCAGAGCTTGATGTAAAGACTTTGCCTGTTGATATCTGTGCATCTGTATCTGTTGATACTGGTGGTATCTGTGCTTTCATAGATGAGTAAAGGCTTTAGGCAGGCAGCCCATCTGCAGGCAGCTATGGAGGGCACCTACAGGTTCTTGGGTACCCCAAGTCCTCAGAAAAAAAAGGAGCATCTGCTGCTTCACAAGAAAATGAGCTACTAAGGTGCAAAGAAGAGCTACTGAAGGGATTTCAGTATCTTTATCCATCTGAATTAATCTTTTAACTTCAAAAGCAATTGAGGGTATTCAGCACCATTCAGAAATGGGCTGACCCAAAAGAAAACTGACTCAAACATTTTAAAGTACCTAAAATTCTATTCTTTCAACTTGCTTTCTCTTGGTACAACAGGAAGTGAAAGAAGGAAAATATCCATAACAGTTGCACTTCTGACAAGTCCCTCCTAAGTAAGTGAACTCAAGCTAGAGAACAAAACACCATCACATTTCATATCTTAAGGTAGTTTATTTTCTGTTGTATCTATTTACTGTATAGCAAAATAACACATCTATTTATTTATATTAAATTAATGTCATATTCTTTACATGTCATAATATTTTCATATTTCACTTGTCAGTACCAAATACTCAAAATTCTCTTCCATTGTCCCCATAACCTCTGTATGGTTTCACTTAAAGGTTGTGTGAACAGCATATTCCTGAACAAGACGATACTGGTAACATTGGAGATAACAGTAAGACTTGCAGTGTTTCATCACAGGCATCTTGGACAATATATAGAACAAACAGTAGAAATACTTATAACATAGAATTATAACGTGTGTTTAAATGAAACCTATAGAAATTGTCTATAAATTATCTGCAGCCATCTAAATCCTGTAGTTTATATAGCACATTCACAGACTTCAAGAGTGTTTCTTTAGTGCAGTTACTTGAAGATTAAATACAGATTTCCTAGCTTGAATGGAACTTTATTACTCCATTCCAGTTCTTATGAATAAAGGTCACACATTAGCATTTTGAGTTTACTGGTGTCTCAAAACTCTATTTCTTCAGAGTTTTAAGCACTTAAATTAAAATTCCAACTTTAAGTGCTTTGAAAGGAACAGGAAGGCTCTGTTTTCAGAAGCTTTTAGATCGTCACCAATTCGGTTTTAGATCTAGGTTCTTAGAAGTAAAAGTTCTTACTGGCTATTAAGGACACTGAGCTTCTTCTGTGTAAAATTCTTTCATTTTTAAATTGTCTAATTTATGAATTGTTATTTTGTTATAACTCATGTTATATTTTATTTTGTTATTTTAATCAGTTAGACTAACTCCGTAAATAAAATTTAGGTAGTATTAGAGCTGGAAAATGCCATATTTGGAGTATTCCTAGCATTCAAGACCCCTATTAGCTTCAGTCATCTTTCTAAGTCAGTGAGGTGATGCTTTTCTCTATATTTTTCTTCTTGTGAGATTGTGCCCACTGCACTGAGCATTTGTTTCCATTAAATAATATTGCAAATATTAATTATGCTTTGTGAATATACAAAAACAAGTTTCTGATCTGTAGGATAGGTATAAATTGAATAACATTAACTCTAAAGAGCTCTCTATAGTGAATGCTTTACCTCATTGCAGGAGTAAAGATTCTCCTGCTATAAAGAAAACTCCACTGCCTTCATGAGGTTGGCTGCAGCCTTCCTTTCTTTACTGCGCTGCCTTTTCTGAACTATGCATACATACAGGCAGAAGTAAATCAGCACTCAGCAGTCACAGCATTTGCAAGAAGGCTCAGCTTGTAAATCAAGTAAATAAAATTACTTTATAGCAGAAAAAAGCCCAGAAGATGACCATGTTTGAAAATCCATTTCAATAATAGTCTTGATGGATTCATTTAAACTTACATAAATACAACTCCATCCTATCAAAAAATGTACTCTATCCAAGGGTACAGGTACCATAAGTAGTTGCATGGCCCTTACAATAGCTTCCAGACTGGGACTCTATTCAGAGAACTCTATGTGCATTCTGACACTTATATTCCACAGAAATACAATCATTTCAAATGATACATGCAAAACACTATAATTCAGCCATGAAAATGTAAATATGCTACAAACAATGATTCAGTTAGAAAAATGACCAGTAATATTAGAAGCAATTAACTGTATTGGGTTTGATTTTAAGATCAAACCATTGCTTTCCCTCCAATGATGAATGTTGCTACGTGTTCATTCTGCTGACTCATAGCAGATGCATATTAGTGGAGACTGATATATCAAAAATGTTTGGTTTTTTTTTCCATTATGAACTGTGCTATTGTGATAATGGCAAAACAGATTTTTTCCTTAGATATTCACTTGAAATGGAAGTTCGTAAAGTGTCCAGGGAGTTTTCTGTCTTCACAGACTGTGATTTTCTGCACCTTTGTGGGATCAAGTCCTTGTAGAATTCCACTGCCTTCTTCTGGAAGTGTTTCCCAACAATAACGTACAGGACTGGGTTCAAGCAACTGTTGCTATAGGCGCAGTACATTGCCATCTGGGTCACAATATCATTGATTTCTTCAAGGCATTTCAAATTCCCTGCTAGTTGGCAGACTGTGTCGATGAAGGTGCTGATCTGGAATGGAAGCCAGCAAATGACAAACAGCAAGAGCACAGCAAGGACCAGCAAGGTGGCTTTCCTCTCTGTCTGGATTAACTTGAGTTTTTGTAACTTATTACTCTGTAAGGCCTTGGTGATCTGAGTAGTGCAATAGGTAATTACACAGAGTGGGATCATGAAGCCCACAGTATTCAGCAGGCAATTGTTTGCAGGGCGCCAGTAGGGGTTTGGATAATCAAGAAAGCAGGCTGTGATGTTGTACTCTTCGAAATACTGTAAGTTTCGGAACACCATTGTAGGTGAGCATATGAACAGTGCACACACCCAGATTATAAAGCTGTTCCACTTGGCACAGGCTGTTCGCCGCATCCGTCCCAGAGACATGGTTTTTACCAAGGCCAGATAGCGATCGATGCTCACTAACGTCAGAAAATAAATGCTAGAGTAAGAGTTCATGTAGCTGATTGTGTTGACAGCTTTACAGAGGAACAGGCCAAAAGTCCACTGAAAATTATTAGAAATATTAATGGCCCAGAAAGGTAAAGAACAGACAAACATTAGATCAGCAAATGCCATATTTGCTAGGTAAATTTCAGCCACAGAGCAGCGACTCTTGTGGAAGCACAGGACGATAAGGACAAAGGCATTTTCTATTGTTCCCAGAATAAATATAATCCAAAGGAATCCAGGCTGATAAGTCTGTAGCCATTTCCATGCATCTGGATTAATACATTCATATTCATTCATTTGATGCACACTTGAATTATTGTGGAAACCTGCTGGACTGATTGTAAATTCCTGTGTGGCCACAACATTGTAAAGTTGCACAATGTTTTCAGGTGTGATGGTAACCATTTCTGTGCAGAGAAAAAAGAAAAAAAAAAAGGTAAAATGAGACTGCTAGCTCATTGCTGCAAAAGACAAGAAGAAAAGCTGGCTCTGCTTTTCCCACGGTCTTAAACAAAAACAGCATCAAACATACTTAGGATTCTCTGGGTTGCTTTTCTGTAGTCACCTTGCTTGCTTGCAGGGGGTTTCACAGAGTAAACTGCCATGGACCGCATGTGTGGAACAATTTTAAGGGTGCAAAGCAACAGCCATCACTGTAAGAAGCAGGTTAACTGAAGCTGGCAAAGAACATTTGCTGGCCTTTGTTCACTAGTAAGTGAATAAAATAAAACAGCAAGCTTACTTGTTTTGTTTTCCTTTTCTTCCTTTTTTTTTTTTTTTTCTTTTTCTTTGGAATTCTTTGATAAGGGTAATGATTACTTTCTTTTCTTATATTTGTGTATCAATATTCATAGTCTCCCAAAGGAAGATGCATCACTGTGAGACTCATGCTTTCAGCTGAGAAGCTCACAGTCTTGTGGCATGTCTCTCAACATTTTCTTCCTTCTGTAAAACTAGAACTGATGGAATTCAATAGTGTTTCCTCTCCACACAGCTCCTTATTTTTGTCAAAATCTCCTCTCACAGCAATTTAGTTTGCAGGTCTAGTTTGCACTGAGGATGCTGCAGGAGTGAGGATTAGTATTCGGAAAGTGTGGTTTTGTCAGCTCACTGGAATCACCTGCGCATTTCTGTACTTGTGTTACCATCTCCTTCAAGTCACAGAAGAGATGAATGGTACAACCTTTGGAAGGGAATCTAGGTTTAATTGATCCATAGGAGGTGGGTTGACAGATTGGCAAAGATAGTGGCCATCATGTAAGCAAAGACCTTAGGAGTTGGACTTGATCCTTATGGATCCCTTCTAACTTGGGATATTCTGATTCTATTACCTGTCTGCAGTGAAGCTCCAGTGAGTTAATTTGAGTTGTAAGAGCAGAATGTGAAAACCAGGTGCTGTATTGTAAACATTCAAAACAGCATAGGGTATACAGGGAATTATTTAAGGACATAAATCTTAAAGATTTATGATTATTTAAACACGGAAAGATACGTGTTTAAATATGTCACTAGCATCAAACAGTTTAATATCCAGAATCCACTTGGCGCTGTTAAAATGTTAGCTGTGGCAATTATTCCTATGTTCCTGAGACTGAATGCCCAAACATAAGAATCCAGGCCTGTATGCATAGTTATCTGAACTAGGTGACAACAATATTGTTTGTTTTATTCCAGGTCTTTAAAATGCCTCTGATAATATTGTGGTTTCATTGGAAGCTTTTCAGATGTATTTTTAACTAAAACATTTTTCTGACTCATCTGGTAACTTGGCAGTGAAAAACATCTATAATTCCTGGAAGGATAAAGTTCTCATTCATGTTCTGGTTACGGCACTAGCTGGTTGGTAAAAGTCAATGCTAAGAATGCACGTTGACATTCAGCTCTAAGATGAAGAACTGCTGAAAAATGATGACTGTATTTTGCGTATTCATTTTAATTAAGTACTGTAGTGCTTGGGAATCAAATGCAAAGATCAAGGCTGCATTAAGTATAACAAAAACTCTCTGCCATAAAATTTACAACACAAGTGTGAGGCAGTATAGGTCAACTGGATAAAACAAGTGAGACTGAGAACATTTAGCCATGAAACAACACTCCCAGATGCCCCTCCCCTGCCACAGCTCCACGCAGTTCCCTCGGGCCCTGTTGCTGTCACATAGAGCAAAGCACAGCACTGCTCTGCCAGTCCCTGGGAGGAGCTGCAGGTCGCCATAAGCTTCCTCACAGCTCCCTCTGCTCTGGGTTGAACAAGCCAAGGGGCCGCAGCCGCTTCTTACACATCTTGCCCTCTAGATCTTTCACCCTCTTTGTAGCCCTTTTTCCTGGCACTTCATGCTCTAACAGCGTTTAGGAAGTATAATGCTAATGGACCAACAGAAGGTCATCTGAGAACAGAAGTTCTGTTGGGCGATGCTGTAAGCAGAAGCTGTTGTTTCTGCCGGGAGCAGGCAGCAGCAAGAATTAAGTGCACTATGAAATTCTTTGAGGTTGAGTATCTGCAGATACTTAATAAGGCATTCATTAGTAATTCAAAGTCATAAAGGCTATGATACTGTTGGCAATTTCTATGCCTCTTTCTCATAATTATGACTAATAGGAAAGCGAGAACCAGGAATTAATTTTACAGCAAACGGAAGCACAAAAACTGCCCACTGGTTGATGATATCTTTCCTTTAATTCACCTTTTAAATGATTGTGCTGTAGAAAGACCGAGAATTGTTTAAAATAAGTTACTTCTGTGACATTGCTGTGGTCTAGGAACGGACTTCAGGACCTAGTTAGAATGTGGCCAAGGCTCATGCTGTGTGGCTCCTGGCTTATCTGTCTCCTTGGTCCTTAGCTCAGGCCCTGGTGTAAAACATTGTTAGAAATGACGGTGTAAACGGTGTAAAATTTGCTAATCATCATTACATGTCCTATTTAAACAATTGCCTGGGGCTATTCTCTGCAGCACGAGAAATGCACACGATGTAAACCATGTGCTTACTGAATATGTTATGATTTATGCAACCACAATTTAGAAAAGAGATTGATTTGCCATAGTCTTATCTCAGGCCAGTGAAAATAAGTGTAATCCCCTCACAAAGACACTGTGTGCACAATGCAAAGCAGTTTTAATGTCTCATTTTGGACTGATTTTATCTGATGATTTTGACATAAACTGTCCAGCTGAAGCAATTTACTATTACTGATTATGAAGAACTGCTGTAGTGGGTTGAATTTGTTCCTGCTGAATTTGTTCCTTCATCCTTTACAGTCAGATAAAAACATTGTCAGTCATTGTTTTTTGTTGTTCCAGAATTATTTTTTTTTTGCTAGTGGTATTGGGCATAAGTGGCAAGGTTTCGGCAGTTGGAAGCTGCAGCATGGCTTGTGTGGCAGACAGCCATGCCTTGCCTTGCCTGTGCTGATGGCTGATGGCACCCAGCCCACAACACTGTCCTGAGCAGTGGAGCAGGGCTATGGTGTTGGCTATTGCAGTCATATGTTGAGCAATGGCATGATCCAGCCAATGCTGCAAATAAGGTACACTCACACAGAGATTGGGAAGAAGAGGGTAATATACTGTAATTGCTGTGGTCCTGGATCATTTACAGATAAGGGGAGAAGGGCTCCAAAAGGTGGCAGTCACAAATGCCATCATTTGAAAGCTCTGAGAGCTGTGAACAATCATTGACACTTCTCATCTTTGCCTGTAAACCTGGTGGATTCTTCTACTAATCAAGGATAGACTTGTATGTACCATCGTGGCGGAAGCATGCCAGAAGAGATGTGAAAGAGGAGCAGAAATTCAAAGATAAGGCACAGAGTCCAGGAATCCTTGAGATAAATATTAGGTGAGGATGTAAGATCTCCACATTACTGCTGTACATGCTAGAGCCTATGGATGGTCTGAAGGAGGAGATGTAGAATATGATGAAGCACGATTACAAGCCCTCTAAAGATCAAGAGCTGTAAAATAAGGAATGCAAATGCAGGGGGAAACATCTCAGAACTCAGTTAATAGTGCTAATGGATATGAATGAGTTCCAGGAAAGCTGAGACATTTTCTTCTCCAAATGGAGAAATGCCCATGCTGCATCAAGCGAACGTTTTTCACAATCAGATTTGGGTATCTCTGAAAGTGGTGTTAAACTTTAATTATACTATGCTAAATATTTGCTCATGTGCTGAGATACAGTGAAAAATAATCTGCAACAGCACAGGATAAAGCAGAAGATAGAAACTGTTACCATATGACCTCAACCTTCTTGGCTGCTTATTTCTCAAGGATTGGGAAACCTAAGTGTAAACTATTATGTAAGTAAGGGTATTGGTGACCAAAAAGGGGAGAAGAGGACTATCAGTCTTAAATTTAGGCAGAATACTCACTGTTTGTTAGTTTATGAACTTTTTCTTCTTGGTATCCAAATTAATGATGAGATGTTTGAATTACACTGACAAAAAAAAAATAGCATAAACATTCCTTGAGGCAAGACTGTTTAGCCCATGGCAATATTTCCGATTACAAAAGTACTGGAATTACAAGCATGATGTAATATTTCAGGTTCTGAAAGTTTACGCTTTCTCTTATTTGTAAATTATAGCCACATCCTGGTATGATCAAATTGTCCATAAATGACATCACCTAGGATCTTAGGGCTGAAATGAGTCACTGCAGGCCTCCACACTTCCATTTCTAATTTCTGGTCTCCTACAATAAACAGCCCTTATTTTGCCCATAAGTAGTTGTAGATACAGCTTAAAACTAAACAAGGACCTGAGCATCCTTGCAATTATATTTCTACCAATGTCTTCACCCTGAATGCTTGTTGTTGTCCTGTTGCTGTTGTCCTGGGTTTATAGTTTGTCAGCTTTTCACAGACATGAAAAATTTCTCCTTTCCTCTTCTTTTTGGGATCAGGGTTAGCTAACCATTGTCGTGTCACTTTGGAATAAGTGCAAGAAGCCACTACACCACTCTCCCACTGTGTCATACTGTGTCCACGCTCTGCCTCTTAAGACATGCCTATTTCTCTGAGCAGTGTAAGGCTTCTAATCTACCAGAAAGATGAAGGGAGGTTTGATTCAATTTTATTCAAAGCAAACCTTTGAACGTTCCTTCCCCCTAGATGATAGAATAAACTCTCTAATCACCACATTCTGTGCTGCCCAGCTCAAGAACTGTTTTGTTCAGTGTTTATATATATCCAGGCACTTGGATTGAGGTCTTAGTTATTCTTGGTCTTATTTATTAGCATCAACATAAATGATAGTGATACCACATATTTTTAAAACTGGAAAAGGCTGAAATATAAATATTATTTTTGTATGTTTTGTTTGCTTAGAGAAACAAAATTAAGTCATCTTATACACAAATTACTGCTTCTTATCTTTGTATTACATAAAGAAGGACATAAGTCTACAC